AGCAGGTCAGAGTTTGGCATTTCCTTGAACAAATCACTGCACTGGTTGGATCAGGGGTTTGAGATCATAATAAAACGCTTCATTTTTTTTTCAATTCAGTTCAAATCAAATCAAAGAACTTCATTTTTCCTGTTAAGGAACTTCATTTGTGTGGCACATTCACTGCATACATACAAATGAGGCTCACTGATACCACTGATTAAAAGAGATTCACATAAAACAGCAGCGGATTCAAATGGAAGATGTTTTACTACAGCCTCTGAGCAGCCAGAACCCAGTCTCCATCACAGAGACAAGGCTTAGACTATATTTACACTGAATTGAAACCACATAGCACAGTGTCACCATATCGGAAATGACCTGCGTCCAGACACGTCATTTCTGTGTCCGCAAGCCTTCCTTATCCACACAGCGTTGTACATATTTGTTTATGTTTTACAGAAACAAAACTTAAAACCACATGGCAAATTTGCATAAACTAAGCACCCAGAAAACAACTCACTATTGTGCACTGATGTGGTTCAGCTTCTGTCGGACTAAAGGACACGACTCAGTGGAATATGAGTGTTCTTTCTATGACAGAGGGGTGTTCTGCTGATGGTGAGTCTGTTCTGTGCTTCTATCACATTGGAGATAGTTCATGTTAAACTTTTCAGAGATTATACGTCTGCAGGTCGTACACAAAGACTGTATATATGATTGGACATATATTCTCTTAGTGTTTTGACGGTGAATTACTTCGTGGCGCATAGAACTACATTATCAGTGTTTTCAGGCGTCCACACAGTGCCAGATCAGATCCGTACTCAAATTAAATCATGGGAGCTGGTGGCACCAGATCGTTCCGTCTCTTGAGGTGTTTTCTGTTGGATTAGTGTGGACGAACACGGCAGCCACAACGAAAATGACTCAAATACGTACTAGTGTGGATGGGGCCTTAGGTTCATCTGTTCAAAGTCGTGAACAGTGGCTCAGGTGGTCGGTTGTCTAATAACCAGAAGGTTGGCAGTTAAAATCCCAGTCTGACTGGTTTATACCAACAATAACTACAAATTCTACTCACCTCTCAAACCCCCGCTGACCCCCATGTGCCTTGCGTAATGTGCTTTTAACACTATTTACCATTTATACTAGACCCACATAAGAAGCAGCCTATGCTCTGCACTTTACCATCTGCTGCTTTTATTACTGCTGCTAATACTGATCTATCTTGACTGCACTTTACTGTACACTAGTGTTTTAGCTTAATTTATTTGTTTATGGTTACTGTAGTGGTTAGAGATAATGTTATTTTTTGTTGTGTCTGTGCACATAAAATGTAGTCGTGTCCTGTATGCACTTTAATGTTTGCTCTATCTTGTCTAAACACGGGACAGAGAAACATAATTTTGATTCCTTTGTATGTCTAGTACATGTGAAGAAATTGACAATAAAGCTAACTTTGAACTTTGAACTCTTGGCATTGCATAGAGCTCCTTTAAAGTGGGACATGTGAGGAACAGTGTGATTGATCTAACAGGTATCCACGTGTTCGTATCAGTAATACCTGTCTGTGATCAGGACAGTCCTGTGTGATGTCACGCAGTACTTTAAACTACAGTGACACACTACAGTGTTTTTTAGGTGTTAACATCATAACATGGCTGAAGCTCACAAGAGTTACTTTTGCCTAATATTCAGTAGGACCTTTAATACAAAATATCCACTGAAGTTATAGGAATTCATCTCTCAAAACATAAACAACATGGGTAGCAAGAGCTAATTAGTTATATTATTTGTTTTTGTTTTTTTTTTTCCTTTATTAATGTGAAATTTAGGCCCTGTCCACACTTGTACATATTCGAGTCGTTTACATTGTGGATGCAGTGTTCATCCACAATTATCTGATTGAAAACAGCTCTAGAGACGGAACGATCTGGTGCCTCCAGCTCCCACGAATTCATCTGAGTATGGATCTGATCTGGCACTGTGTGGATGCCTGGAAATGTTGATACGCTGATGTAGGTCTGTGCGCCGCAAAATAATTCACAGCCAAAATGCTAAGACGCTAGAATGCATGTCCATTCATATAAATGGTCTGTGTGTACGACCTGCAGACGTATAATCTCTGAAAAGTTTAACATGAACCATCTCCAACACAATAGAAGCACAGAACAGACTCACCATCAGCAGAACCTCCCTCTGTCACAGAAAGAACACACATATTCCACTAGAGTCGTGTCCTTTAATCAATAAGAGCAAGCGAGTTGTTTTTTGAGCACCCAATTCATGCAAACTAGCCATGCGGTTTTAAGTTTCATTTCTATAAAACATAAACAAATATGTACAAAGCTGTGTGGATAGGGAAGGCTTGTGGAAACAACGTGTCTGGACGCAGATCGTTTCCGATACGGTGATACGCGGACTCGTTTCAGTGTAAACATAGTCTAACTTAACTTTAAAAGTTCACAGTGTAACTTTTCTGACTGAAGGTACACTACCTGCTTGGGGATGCTAATGCTTTGCCTCCGGTCAGATCTCTGAAGAGGCAAGCCAAGTATCAATTGCGTGTTTACATTAGTATGGGGGTTAAAAATCCTATCTATTGCAAAATTGACTCTTGTGAGTTTTAAGCCATGTTATAATGTCGTTACCTCATCAAAAACAGACCTGGAGTTGTGTTTTGTTTCAGTCACACATTTGAGTAACTCTGTATTATTAGTCTGTCTACATCTCCGAAGCTCAAAGATGATGAGGAAACCACATTATAACATAGACTAGGACTAAAAAACAGCGTAATATGGGCTCTTAAATCCATCTTTCATGTCTTCTTTTGCGTAGTTCAAAAGTGTAATTCTAGTGTAGAGGATAGTACGTGACTCTGCTCCTCCTGCACACGTCTCCGTAGGTCAGGCTGACATGAAGCTTTCCCATTATGCTGTTAGATCAGACCTGTTATTTGTACTCTCGCTGTGAGCTGAGGGGCTGGAGCGTTTACAGCTACTCTTGTACACGAGCACCTCCTCCTGCTTCATCTGCCCTCACCTCTGCTCAATAAACTAAAGGAACATTGTGAGTCTATTTAAGAAGTGTGGGTTCGTGCGTTAGAAGCCTGTTCGCGTTATTACGAAAAGACAAAAAGCCGCTCTGCTCTCTCAGAGTTGTGAAAAGCATTTATCCTGGTAAATCTTTCTTTTTTTTTTTTTTTTTTATTTAATAAGGACAGTGCATATTAATGAGCATCTACAACACTGCAAAATATATGTAAATATGCCAGATTATAGCAAGAATACTCATTTCCATCTGTAGTCCCTCGGCAGGTGACACCACAAATTTAACAGAGAGAAAACAACAATAACAAGTGACATTTCTAAACTAAAAATGTCCACAAGTCTGTTTTTTCCTTTAGTCGCTGTTTCAAAAGGGATTTGAAAGTGGCAAGTGTTGGAGTCTCTCTTAGGCTACGTTCAGACTGCAGGGCTTAACGCTCAATTCCGATTTTTTTGTGAAATCCGATGTTTTTGCGAGGTCGTTCACATTTACAATTAAATGCGACTTGTCTGTGACTCCAGTGTGAACGGTAAACGGCCCGAAAGTGTCCCGCATGCGCACTGGAGACACGATGACGCCAACCCCATGCGTCAACCGCAGCGAACGTGCTCTGTGTTTACGGAAGTTGTCCGAACATGGACGCGAGCATTGAGCACCTGGAGATTTTACAGTTCCGGTTTCCGCCTGCTTCAGCGCAAAATAGTTACGTTTGTCGCTTGTTGATGACGTGTAGGTCGGATGGATGCGCTTTGGCTGTTCAAACTGAAGTCGCATGTCAAAAGATCGGATATGTATCGGTTTCAGGAGCACATATCCAAGTGGCCTGGGTCGCATTTGAAAAATTCAGATCTGTGCCGTTCAGACTGTCATTAAAAGATCGGATACAGGTCACATAGAAGCCAAAAAATCGGATTTAGGTCACTTCAGGCTGCAGTCTGAACGCAGCCTTATTGGAGTCTTAATCCTATTTATTTCTCTGATTTGTTTTTATCATATGAACCCTCTCGAACTCTCAGGTAGTCGTCTTTTAACTGTCCCAAAAGTCCAAACTAAAACTCACGGTTAATCGTCATTGAGTTTTACGGCCCCCGTTTGTGAAACAGTCAACCTGAGGATCTGAGGTCCGCTGCGAGCTTTCATATCTTTAAAAGTAAACTCAAAACATATCTTTTTTATTTAGCTCTTAATTGAAACTTTTACTTGTTTTAACTTATTACTATTGTTGTTATTATTATATTTGTTTTAAATTAAATTATCATTACTATTTTACTTCGTCTCCATCAGATCTTAGCCCTCCATTTTTATTTTTACTCTAACCTTTAGGAGCTTTATGTTTGTTTTATGCTTCTGTTTAAATTGTTGTAGAAATGGATGAAACACTGGGGTGGGGGGGTTGCTGTTGTTTTTAATTATTGTAATTTTTCTGTTGCATGTTAAGTACTTTGGGGTAGGACTCTATAAGTTTTTTAAACTTCATCCTACTCCTTTTGAGCACCAGGTCCCAAATATGGTCACGTACATATCACTGTTTTTGTTATTGTTTTTGAATTTTGTTGTACCTGGCTCAAACACATAAATAAATGAAATGAAATGAAGTACTTTGTGCGACAAGTCCAATGTATGAAAAGTGCTATACAAATAAAGTTTGACTGATTGATAATGGGAGACTGACTGAGGGCACACATTGTCCGAATGTGGTGCGTCTGTCGTGGTTCATGTTTTGAAGTTGTTGTTTTTGCTTATTTTGATATATTTTTCCTGTGGTGTGCCTTTTAGTGTTTTATTTTGACATTTGTCCTGTCAGCTTGTAGTTTTGAGTTTTACTTCCCGTCTTGATTGTTTGCCCCGCCCTAATGTGTTTCACCTGTGTCTATGTGCTCTTATACCCTGGCTGTGTCCCAATTCGAGGGCTCAGCCTCCGAAGGCTGGTTTTAAGGCCGCATACGTCACTTCCGGTGAAGAAGGCCTGTCCCATTTCATTTTTATGTCATGCAGCCTTCAAATGCAGCCCTAAAACCGGCCTCGTTTCCATGGAAATGGGGCCGCGAACGGAGGACACATCCGAGTATCCTTCGCAGCCTTCAGTATCCCAGCATGCACCGCGCGGCGGCAGTCAGATGTTCGAAAACACGGAGAAAAACATGTGAGTAACACTTTTAACTTTAGGAAATCATTACTAACACAACTGTAAACGTAAAATACGACCATTAAGTCCCACAAAACTGTCAAATAAGTTTGTTTTAACTGCGTGAACGCGGAGTTTTGAGCTAAAGTTTGCCTAGTAATGTGCAGCTAATGCGATGAAAAGTCCGCTCAAACTTTCATATTTGGACACATTTCCATCAAACACTCATCATGTTTTTACTGTTAGGGGAAAAGAAGCTCACAGAGTGATTTAAAGAAGCTACGAGGAGAAAACTCCACGTTTTCACGGACAGTGTAAACATGTAAACAGTTGGTCAGTGTAGCTCGGAGTTAAGATGAAAACACACATTATTTCATACATTCAACTGAAAAAAGACTCAGTCTGACTCTATCAAAGCTCATATTTACTTGTAAATCACATAATATATGCCTCCAACGTGTGCATTTCATTCAGGAATACATTATCTGCTTTTAACAATCCGTGCATGTTTGTAAAGTGAAGAGTAAATAATCCTGCCTGGACAGGTCAGATTTATGATGGACATTTTAACAGATTTGTGCAGACACTGGTGTAGATACGACTGGTGTAGATACGACCTGACTGTGTCTGTTAGGTCTGTCACATCTAATGTTATAACAATGAGAAATCTGTTTTACATGAATTTTCTTTTCTCATCTGCAGCCTCCTGTATGAGGACACGGCACACTGCAGGGGCCACAGAACTGTTGGCTGACAAGATGCTTGTGATTCATAAAATGGGTCAAATGCAGATGACAAAGTAAAGCCAACACTGAGCTGGAGGTGCTGACCCAGACTCCTGCCAACGATTAGGTATGGGGCATGTACATTGAAAATTGTACTAATAAGAGCTGCAAATGATCATGCTCATGTTGAAATTATGATTTAAATTTGTGAAAATATGCATTTCTCAAATGTGTGGGATTCCTCTATTCATTTAGCTGTTTCAGATATAAACTGCCTTGAATCTGGATGTACATCAAAGTTTAAGTTCAACGTTAAAATAGTTTATTGGTCAAATTCTTCATACGAAAAACATATAAAGAATCGAAATTGTTTTTCTCACTCCCTTGCGTATAAATAAATAATAATAAATGTAAATAGTGCGGAGGGAGTCCAGGTGTTCTTTGGGGCTGCATGCTCTTTGAAACTTATTTTCCTCTAATAGTTTTGTGTTCTTAATGTGTGTGTCATTACAGGTTTTCACTCTACAGGACAGAACTTTGAATCAATCAGACGCAACAACCATTCTGCTCTTCCTCCTCCAGAAGACGAGAGACCCATCACACTGAGTGGTCCAAGTCCACTGTCCATGTCTCCACTGTCCATGTCTTGTCCATTCCACTGTCCATGTCTCCACTGTCCATGTCTCCACTGTCCATGTCTCCACTGTCCATGTCTCCACTGTCCATGTCTCCACTGTCCATGTCTCCAATGTCCATTTTTGTCCATGTCTCATGTCATGTCTCCAGTCCATGTCTCCACTGTCCATGTCTCCACTGTCCATGTCTCCACTGTCCACTGTCCCACTGTCCATGTCCAATGTCCATGTCTCCATGTCATGTCTCATGTCCATGTCTCCACTGTCCATGTCTCCACTGTCTGTCCATGTCATGTCTCCAATGTCCATGTCTCATGTCCATGTCTCCAATGTCTCATGTCCATGTCCAGAGTCTCATATGATCTGAACAAGTGTGTGAGACAGAAATGAAAACATCTGCTCATAAGTGTTTCTGAATGTTTTTCAGCCTGTACTGACATTTGATTTATGGCGAAATGTGCCATTTATTTGGTGTCTCTTTTGATAGTAACTAATTACATGTACTATAAGAATGTACTATTGTACTGCAGATAAGTTGTGGTATTCCACATGACCATATCTGGCAAAGATAATTTGTTCATTTTTGATTGTCACTTGCTTCAGCAAAAAGGGAACACAATGAGATTTACTGACATACAGCTGTTTTGTACTAAACTTGTTAATGCAGAGTGTGTGTAATGGGTTTAATATTTGACTTCATATTATGATAAAGTATTTCCAGAAGTTCCTTGGATTGTTTAATAAATCATCTTTTCTCAGGAGAGATGTCTTTCTTTCTTTACAAACTGACTGTATAAATGTAATCCCTGGTCAATATAAAAATCCTTAATAATGTTTAGTAATGCATATCTCATCACAGTTTTTTTTTTTTATTTTAAGATAATTTAGTCTATTTAAAATGTATCCCTTAAATATAGCCGTTTTGTTTTGCAAAAGTTAAACATACATTTTCGGTTTTGGCCATAAGATTTGGATGCGAATTATTAAAATAATTTGGTCACAAAATCCGACAGTTTGTTGACCTGTGCGTCTTTTTACTGATCCGTGTGTGGAATCTGCGCGGAGCGTGTTAGCATTAGCATTAGCGCTAGCAGCGTCCCTCGGTTGCTAGGCGACAGGGGAGCGGCTCCGAGGTCTAGACCTGTCCCATTTCCGCAACGGCCTGGCGGTCCGCGGAGGCCAGTTCAAGGGCTGCAGCCTTCGCGGCCGACGAAGGACCCAGCCTTCACAGCCTTCGGAGGCTGCAGCCCTCGAATTGGGACACAGCCCCTGTGTTCTCATCTGCCCTTTGTTGATCCCATTGTCTTTGTCCGAGTTTCTCCGTGTCTCTTGTCATGGCAATTTACTCTTAAGTTTTGGATTTTTTTGAATTTGTCATTAAATATTTTGAAGCAGTCCTGCGTTTTGGGTCCTCCCTCTGTTTCCACGTGACAGCGTCGGTATGGGAGCTCGCAGTTCCCCCGAGCTGTGGCCCTAGTTCCCATCCCACGGACTGTCTTTGTTCTTAATAAAATCCTGTAACAGAGGGGGGCAAGTCCATACAAGACTTTATATACAAGACATCCATATTTAAAATCAACAAAAACATTAAAATGAAGCAGGTTGTACTTATCTAAAATAGTGCAGTGGTGAAATGAGAGTGGTTTCTTGTCCAATATTTTTTTAAAAACTGATTCGAAGGGTTTGAGTTTTTTGCCAGCAGCGAGTGACCGTGTGGTTATGCAGTCCTCTATATGAGACAGAATCATGGAGTGTAAAAACATTCATGCCACATATAGAGTCATAAAAGATCTTACTTATCTAAAATTCACTAAGTTAAAAAGAACAGTTTTTGTGAGGCGCTTAATGTGTTTCTTAAATGTCAATGTCGGGTCCAACGTCAGTCTCAGGTATTTAAACTCTTTGACGAGGATGAGGTCCAATCCGTCCAGAAAGACATTGTTGTTTTGCTGAACGTCCTGCAGACAGTTTTGCATGTTTGAGGTAAGTGAGGAATAACTTGGAACCACAGCAAACACTTAAAATCATCTATATCTGTTTTTCATGTTTAAAATCAGGTACAGCCCTTTTAAACCCTTTGTTTTTTTTTCCCACACAGAGCGGATAAAGGTCAGCGGAGCTTTTTCCACCTGGCCTGCTTCACGCTCCCAGCATCAGCGCTCCTACCTGCTCCTGCCTGCTCCTGTCTGTTTCGGTCTGCTCATCTCTACATGTTTGCACAATGGTCCTCTCAGTGCTGCCCAACTCCAGGTCTGTTTGTGATGAGGAAACATTCTAACATAGATCTGAAAATAGCGTACTAAAGAGTTTGAAACATGAGAAATCAATGGAGTCTTTTCTTTTCAACCAAATGTAAAATAATGATCTACCAAGGTTATATTTAAACACTAAATGCAGCTTCTTTGTCTTTTTTTTTTACCTGCATCTGTCCACTCCTGTCTCCTGCCTGCCCTGAACGAGTGTTTCTGCAGCTAGAGTTGAGAAATGCTCGCTTGGTTGTCCAAAAAGACGTGATAAATCAGCAAAGGTCAGTGCACTTCAGGATCTCTTTTATTGCTGGTTCAATTACTGTTTTTCATTGTTTAAAATTTGAGTAATACTAATTGTTCAGAGACACACGATCACTCAGTCAACCATTAAAATATCCTCATTAGTGTTCAATACTGGTCAAATCCACATTTATTTTGTGATTTATGAATAATGTCTATTGACTTGGGTCATGAAGGTTTGTGACTTTTAAAATATGGGTCCCCAGAAAAAAAAAAAACAAGTTTTCGAAACATTGATCTAGGTCCCCTGCTTCTCTGTTGTTGTTGTTTTTTGTTTTCTTTTTGCAAACTGGGTGCACAGGGGCATCTATTTCAGATTAATAAAACCAGGACCAATATAAATGAATGAAGATTCACCTGTATATGCACTTGTGTTGTCAAGACCACAAGGTCCTGAGACGAGACAAGACGGAGACCTCTGAGGGTCGAAGCTGAGACAAGACTGAGACTTTTAAAGATCGAGACCGAGACAAGACCGAGACCACGGCCCATCGAGACCAAATCGAGACCATGTTTGTCATTTTCTACATTTCTTTTTATTTTACAGTTATTTTGGCACATATATATCAATGTTTTTTTATAAATCTATCCCCATTTAATTTGATAAATGTTAATTTAGGCATAAAATAAGCTAAGCAAACTGTACTACACACCTTTATATGATGACGGTCTGAACAGAAGACGCAAAAGTGATGTTGCATCTTCACTTTTTATTCCGCGTTTACACAAGAGGAAATCGGGAGGAAATCTGGGTGCATACGGTGACGCAAAAGTGTGTGGAATTTGCGTAAACATGTACGCGACGTGAGCAAATCTGAACAGAGTTTTGCGTCTTGGGCAGTGCAGACGAAAACGCTATGACAGAGTGTACTTTTCCATTTTTCCACTTTCAACTTTTCCACTCTGGAGGGTGGTTTCAGATTTTTGCATTTTTAAGCCCCAAAAACGTTGTCACCGTCTAAAGGAAAAGCACTTCCGATAAAATATTTTGTCCCTCAAACTCTCTGTGTCCCTTTTTTGGACCCTCGCCCACAGTTCGAGAACCCACTTTCACTTTGCAGAAAACTATGTGAGATTTTTACACCTATTTCAGATTCCTAAGTGGAGTTACCTTCTTTTTCTGGTTTTATGGTGGTATTTAGCCTCTGCTCATTTACCAAACTCACATCGTGAAAAACACAGATATATTTGGCATTTTATTAGGCAAACTTCAGCCCACATATCGCGGTAGGCCTGCTGTGCCGACACTGGAGCATTAATTTTGATTACTTTAGCTCCTTGTGTGCTCCTGTCTCCTCCTGTCTGCACCTGTCTGCTCCTGTCCGTTGACCTCTCTACACGTCTGCACAATCAGCACTGGTCCTCTCAGCGCTGCCCCCGGAGGTGAGGTTGGACCCTGCGGATGTTTGAGAACCACTTAAGTCCAGAGCGCTTTGTTTGGATGAACAAGTCACGTCAGATTTGGACTCGGTCTGAACTCTACACTCCACAAAAACAAAGAAACACACGCTCAGGCGGCAGTGGTTTTGTAAATGAGTATTTCTAATTAAAAATGGGCTATTACACTTTGAGGTTTTAATTGTTAACACATCACATACTTAAATCAACAAGTAACATCCCCCCTTCAGCTCCGAAAAGTTGATTTTGCATAATAGTGCCGCTTTAATGACGAAGTGTGAACCTACAGTTGATTGTCTTTTCTTTTCTTAATATTTGCATAATGACTCCCACTCAGGTAAGAGTTCACACCTTAGGGTATTTCAACAAACGTCCTGTAAACAACTGGGGTGTGTTAGTTGCAGTGTCAGCTCCACCCTTCAGACAGATCGACGGACAGACTTTGTTCTTGTTCTTGAGGTGATAAGAACAAGAACAAAGTTCATCTGGGCTCTGACATTTCATACTTCAAAAGATGTTCTGCTGCCGAAAAGCCCCGCCCCCCTCGCTCTAGCTCTATAGCGAGGGTATTTTCGTCCTCCAGTCTGATCCTTTTTTTTTTAATGACCCGCGTTTCGGCTTTTGCAAACTTATCACTGAGATTACGCCAGATTTTTCTACACTGATTTTCTTCCGGGCCTAAAATGTCCACGATCTCCCTCCATGAATTTTGTGCCATTTGGCGTCTTTATAGTGACTGAGCGTCGTGTCGTATAGATGTTTGTATTTTCTCACCATTTCCGCCAGCTGTGACTCAAAAACATCTTATTTTTTCTTGCTCTGCACCGGCGAGAAAGCAGCTCTTGGATCTCACACGTTCGTTGGCTCCAGCAGATAAACCATGGCCACATAAATAACCAATCAGAGCGAAGAACTGCTGAATAAAGTTGTGCTCAGCTGAGGTGTGGAGAACAAGCCGCAAGAACTACCGAACAAGAGCTGATCCAACATGACATCATGAAGTATGACTAGACCTCAATATATCGTACAGTGTAAAAGTACTCTTAC